TTGTAGCATACCATTCTATTAGCGTCGTCATCCTCTCGCATTCTTGTTCTTACTGCTGATTTTACTGTTGTGGCCAGAAGGTTGGCTGTTTTTTCGTTTACGAACGACGTTGGTGATCCTGTGTCGGCAATAAAAACGATGTTGTTTTTCTCCGAGCGGACCCTTATCAGGTGTCCTTTGAGATCTGTGTCCAATAGTTCTTCTGCCCGTCTTGGTTCAAAATTTATCCAGTTTGTCGATGTATCGTCCGGATGGATTAACTCCCACCCTGGTATGACGTCACCCGCTTGTAGGTAATTTACGTATGCTGTCATATCAGTATCTTGAAGTTCTTGTTGTTCTTGGTTGTCTTCCTGGATTGCATTAACCTCACTTGATCTGCAAAGTCTAGCGAAATGGCCCCTTTTAGTGCACTTGTTGCAGATTTTGTCACGTGCCGGACATTGTGCTAAGTGATTTCCTGAAAATGCATTTCCGCATTTGAAACAGTCTTTCTTTTGTCCAGTTTTCTCGGGATAGTTTCTGGACGTTTGTCCTCCTCTACTGCGACCACCTCGCTGATGCGCTTTAAATCCGCCCCGCTTTTGAACGAAATTTACCGGTTCAGATTTAATATTTGACATTCCGGGATGATTATTTGTCGTTCCCTGTTTTCTAATATAGAGCTGGTTCTCGAGGCCTCTTTCGCGTTTTATTGCGTAGTCCAAAGCTTGTTCGGGAGTTTTTGTTTCGGCCAGAAGGTCTTTTTGAACTTCGTCGTTTGACATGTGTGCTATAAATAGGTCTCTGACGATCTCGGATTCGAGACTAACATCGTTGCATGCCGTGCATTTAAAGTTTCCTTTTACCACCAGTTCCGTAAGTCCGCAGTGGAATTCTTCCAGAGATTCCGTTTTTCCCTGTTTGCGTGTGAACGCTTCGTAACGATCGAAGGTTACGTTGCGTTCTTTAACAAATAGTTGCTTAAGGAGTTTCCAAAACTCTCTGGTTGAGGTATCCTGAATTCTGAGATTTGGATAAAATTGTGTTACTCGTCTTTGGCCCTCCGTCCCCAAACACAAGTATATGTAACTTCTGCATTTGATATCGGCTTCCTCCCATGGTATGCCGTCGACTGTGGGGCCAAGATTATCCAAGTGTTGGCATTGGTTCTCCCATGTTACACGTTTCTCTTGGTTTCGAAGGTTTCGATCGCGTATTTGTTTGTCTGTTTCTCCGTCTATGGGGAGCTCGTATCCTGGTTCCTGGGGTTTTCGAACAGCTGGGGGGTTATGTAGAAGCTTGTTCAAATTCATTCCATCTTTGGCGATGATGCCAAGAAACAGTTGCTGGTTCCATTTGTCCCACTCTATTGGTGGTTCCGCGGACGCTTTTTGCCAAAATGGTGTAATCCCCAATGGATTTTTTGTGACTGCTGGCTGCGCCATGTTATACCCTCAGCCGTTAGGTGAGGTATAATTAAGTTGTCAAGTCTATGCTAATCGCTGACTATGAAATGAGAAATAGAAAAGACTACGATGGTAACTTAAATTCATCGGTCTATGTTTAAGTCTGGACGACGCTGACCTCGAAGCATTTGAGATACAGCGTTTCATAATAACTATTACATATGTTGTTAGGTATAGATAGATACTTATTTAATTCCAGACTTCTATATGTATTATGTAATCATTTAGGTTTATAATATGTAAACATTACCAACTGGTAGTTTTAGCACCTGATTGTACATTGTTTGTATGGAATGTTTTACTATGATATCCGTATGGATAACAGGTGTGTTGAAAAGCATTCATAGAAAAAGACTTCCGAAATTATTTGAAACATTTCAGTTATTCTGTTAGGCAAACTGCTCACATGAAAAACGCTCTACTTCAAATTGATAACCCTTGCCAATTGAGAGTTCAATAATCTCTTGCTTAAAAAATAATTGTCGAAGCATAAATTTTCAAAAAAATTTTCTAAAATGCTTTAATCGAAAAATAAATATCAAAACATTTTCAAAAAAGGCAACAAAAACTCCAAAACAAATGTTATTACTCAATTAGCCTCACCATTTGGGCTTTGGAATAAAGCTGAACCTTTAAAAAACTTCCATGCTAAGAGATGTAAGCCGACAAAGAAACAAAGAAACAGATGTATGATAAACCGAAAAAGCTGAAGGTTTCAAATGTACAAAAAAAGTCCCAACCGGATTCGAGCCTTAAGCAACTGTCGTTTAAAGCATCCATGTTATCCTCACGCCAGATGCGCCAGAAGGTTGATTCAATTTAGATTTATGGCAAAGCTAGTCAAAGACCTGCAACATTTTCTTGTGCGAAATTTTGTGATCAAAGTCTTACATGGAAAAAACTTCTTGTACCCGGTTGCAACACCCGAGCTTATCGCAAAAGTAAAAACCAATTGTTGTTTTTTTATTCAAAACTTCTATTTTATATTTCATATGGAGGCTCTTGTCCATCATAACTTCCAAATGAATTAAAATACTCAAAATAAAAATACCCCGCCCCAAAATAGACCAAATTAAGATTCTCAGTCCCGATAGACCAAGTTAAGATCCTCCATTTTCCATCCCAAACTCAGAATTAAATTTACATACCCGCAACCATTTTTTCGTGGCGGGAAGAGGATGTAAATTTGGTCCCAACAGTTATCGGGTCGTATTTTAGTAGACAGTCATATTTTCGTTTTCCTTGTATATTTTGCAATTTTTTTAAAATGGCAATAAATAGCGGTAATGTCATTTTTTTGGTGCCGTCGACATTATGCGGCCAAAAATTTTTCTCGGCTATTTATAAACAATTTTCTTGGTTAGCCAGTAAATGACGAAAAACAGCACTCTAGCTTAGCAAATAAAAATAGTCTGAGTTTTGTGACGAAACCATTTTTGTGGGCACGCACCGTCAAACTCTGGGTTCAAACGTACTAAACAAATCACAATGCAAGATTAGTGTAAAAAAATGAAAAAATAAGTTTTGTTATCGATTCAAATTAGCTATTCTTAGATTGCGTACTTGCTGAGAGACTTCTTTGTAGTCTATTTTTTTGGCTCAACGTTTGTTTAATTGATTTTAAACAATAAAAAAATAAAAAAGAGTTTAGTTCTGATTGGCTAAAGTTTTAATGTTGTGTGCTATAAAATAAGGATTAATTTTTTGCTGTCAATTCTGGTAGACACTAGTTTCCTCAAATAAACATCGAATAGCTAATTATCGGTCTGGTCTTTCTTTTTAGTCTACCTTTCTTAAATTGATTTACCCAAAAGGGAAAAACCAGCATATGATCTGTTCAGTTTTTCACGGAGAACCGCTGTTGTGCCTCTGGTTAACATCTAATTTTTTTTTCTATATGTTTTTTGGACTGGGTATTGTTGCTTCATCCTCATTCAAGGATCTCGAAGATCCGACCTTTTGATTAAGAGGCTGTTACGTAACCACTTCACCGCCACTCCACGAGAAAAACCTCTACATTAAGCCTGGGTTACGATACTGATATGCAAAAACAGCTAAAACAAAACTAATAAAGAGAGATTATAAAGTATATCTATCACACCATAAAAGGTGAAACGTTGATGGAACTTTTCAGGAGGTTTTCGACTGTCAACATTGTTTCAAAAATTTTAACGAATTTACAACATGTTCATTTCAAAAACACGATTTTGACGCAAAAGCGGTCGTGAACGGCAAAATCGATCATGAAGGGTTTTGAGCCGCAGATAAACTAATTTTTTTCAATCACAATTTTTCTGCTCTGAAGCACTATTTTCTGAAAAATTACCAAGAAAACGGTTGGCTGGTCCAACGGTTGGCTGGTCCAACGGTTGCCTGGTACAAAAATTATCAATTTTTACCAAGAAAACGGTTGGCTGGTACAATAAAAGACAAAATATATAAAAAAGCTAAATTGCTACTGTTCACTTTTCTGGTGCGAAAAGCCACTGAAGATTAAAAGTTCGGGATTTTGTATTAATGGATACACGGAAAGTAAAAGCAGAAGTTATCATAATGTAAGTAATCTAAGAGAATCTTCCAACTGAGATATGGCAATACACAATTTTCCGTTCTTCAAATTTTGTTTTATAAACTTTAAAAATTGACGTATGGATATGCTCATCACAAGAAAAACAATAACTATTTTATCACACTAATTGTGTTTTATAGCAATTCAGGTGAAATCAGAAGTTTTTCAGCAGATAATTGATCTTTTTACAACTAAGTGTAAAATTTTATACTTCGAAAAAATCAAGCTGATATTGATATGGTATTTACTGATTCTAAAATTCGTCGCGGGCTGTTTGTAAAAAAAATTGAATTGAGTGTCTTAGAGTGGATTTACGTTTTTTTCCAGAAAAACTTTTTCGATCGAGTTGCTTCTGTTGGCTACTTTGCGATGCTCCGTCCGTTTGTACAGTATTGCAAGTGTTGCGGAACACCATTTGCGGTTTTGTCGAACGTATGATATAAATAGCGTAAAAAATATATTTTTTAGAAATAAGTTAAATTTGTCTTGATTATTACGATGGTCGTCCATTTTGCATTGCAAGTGGTGCGATGCTCAGCTTCGTCTCTGTCTACGGTTTTTCGTTTAAGAAAGTCATTTCTTAACCTTTTCATCACATAAGAATAAACTGTGAAACAATATTTTGCTATCTGCCTGATCGTATTTTTTTCAACATCGTCTTGCTCTGTATGTTGGTTTTGATTATGGCCAAGAGAATGAAGAAACTATTCAGCATTAAGTATTATTTTTGTCCATTTCAAGTAAGAGCAACAAAAAAGAGCCACTTGGAGTCAATATCTAGGCAAAGACCAATTCAAATGGCCTGCCTCAAAAACTCAGTTGAAGAACGTGAGATTTGAGATAAGCCAATTTGTTCATCTCTAAAACACATATACCCAAATTCATGGCTCTACTATCATAACCAACTCTTATATCCTCCATCTATCATCCAATCTCAAACGCACACGCGCTGGTTCTTCTTCATTCTGCCAATCGAATAGCTTATCTAGGTTGCTGGTGTACGGTTAAATCTGCATTATGCATCGCGCATCATACAACAAATCATTTTGAAACAAATTCGAACGTAGCTACACAAATGAAATTATTGTTTGATTTTGGTTGTATTTTTTGCGTAAGTTATCATTCCCTTGTTTAAAAAAATATATAGTTGAGTGTAAAACAATATTTATTTGGTTTTCAAATTCATTTTAGGTTACATTCAGTTTGACTTTTGAACTTCTATCTTCAACTCGGACATGGTATGCTTCGGATGAGAGAAAAATCTATGAGTGGAGTATTGTGCCGACTCGCCAGCGAACCATATTCGATATCCGAACATCTATCAGTGGTAAAAATGGGAACATATGCTGCCTGGCTGTTAATTACCAAATTGGTAATCAGGTGTTTGTGAGCGACACCGGAGAGAACAAAATTTTGAGGAAAGTTAATTTCTTTATTTTAGTTCTTTTCTGTTGGACCTATAGCTAAAAGTTCTAAATCGCAATCTAAATTTTTAGAGCAATGGCTGCTTCCTCAGTGATTTTTACCCCTTCACAACGCATGCATAGAGCAAAAAATTGACGAATTTATAATTTAAACTTAATGAATTAATTTAAAAAAAATTAACCCATTGAACTCCAATATAGTTAATAAAGGGAGGCACACGAACCAAATTATGTCAAAAGTTTAACAGAAAAACGTCAAGAAAGCATTTCCAAAAAACGTTTATTAACTGTTAACTATTACCAGCGCATTTTCATTAGTTTCGAACTATAAAAACCGATGAAAATTAAATCACTGCACTTCAACATGAGAATTTTCGAAGGCCATTTTGAGACTAAACAATTGATAAACGATCCATAGAATATTTTGGCTTTGGTAAATCATCGCGACTGCAGTTTTAAAACGTTTTTTTTTTTCAGTTCAATTAAGCATTATTTTGTCCGATTATACTGTTTAAACATGATTAAAAACATTTAAAAAGACTAAATATTTTGTTCTTTTTTGAGTAGGTCTTTTATTCAATGCCTACAATAGCCCAAGTTTTATCACTCGAGTCAACCAGTTTGACCGAATGACCAAAAGTCCCTATAATAAAAACTTTCTTAAGAGAATCTTACAGCTTCTTAGAAAACTTTAAAAATAGGCTAACAACTGTACAAGATAGGATCTTTTTCTTAAAATAAAATTGAAAAGTAAAAGAAAAATTTTTTTCGCAAACAGTTTTCAAAACTATTTTTCATTTATAGACAAAACTAGCTAAATTTTCCTGTATTAGCCAGTAGCAAGTTTCTGCACGGTCGCAGAGTATAATAACAAAAACCCAAACTCATATGTGGATTTTAGCAAGTCGCGACATGAGTTGACCGAAAGAGCCACTAACCTTAAAGAGCTAGTTTTTTTTTGCTGATTCCTATTAATTTTGAAATTTGTCAACATACATCTGAATCCTACATACAAACGATTTTTTTTTGTCTAGAAAACAATTTTGAACCGCTAATAAGGTATAATTAAAAGGTTTGGAATGCATATATTTTTATCACAATCTGAAAACTTTAAAAACACAATTTTGAAAAAAAACCAAGAAATATTTCCATTATATTTTTTTTATCTGTAGCAGCGCTATAAAAACACATTCAAACTGTTTCTGGCTCTTTTTTCAAAAAATTTTGTTGTTTTTGTTGAAAAAGTTTCTATTTAACGCAAATTGTAAGATCGGTAAAATTCACATTTTAATAGAAGCTCTAAGATAAGAGAATTTTTTTGCAGGTTGATCAATCCAGAAGGCCCTGAAAAGTTATTTTTACTCTTTTTATATTCGTTTCGGAAATACTTTAGCGGCTTCTTCAGATGTTTTTGATTTTTTGAAGGATAACTGATGTAGAATATAACTTATTTATTACGACTTTCAAAAATGCCTCAGTTATAGGCATTTGTTCAAATCCTCTTTTCACATCAAGAAAAAAAACCATTTAAAAACCATTTTTTTTTCATTAATGCGGCCAAATTATTCTGTGCTATTTGCACAGCATTTATCGCTTTTAATAAGATTATCAGTTTGGCTGAAAGTGTTTTTTTTCCGTGACTTTACAATCCTGATTAAATAGTTGTAGGCCAACTGCTTTATGAGAAGTCTATCAAAAACAGGTTTTAGCAGCTCAAAAAATTCTTTGTTTAATCATGTCACAGACTTTTCATAACTGCCCATCGTTCAGTTGAAAGAAAAAACAGTTTTTCAAAATAAGCACGTGCTGACAAAGACATTTTTTTTTCGAAATTTTGATTTTATTTGGTTGATTAGTGTATCGAAGAATGTTTTTTATTGCATGTCTATGCACAAACAAAAGAAACATTTACGTGATTTCAAAAGAATCAATTAGGTGATTTCAAAAATCAATGTGAAAGCGTCTTGGCAAACAATGTGATATTACTAGCAAAATTCAATTTGAGACATGATCATAATAAATTGGCAATCCGTAGGAAAAGATCTTAAGATCTTTTGACAGCTCTTCTGCGATTCGCAGAAAGCGTAACTATAATGATGAATTTAAGCGGTGGTGAGGCAACAATACCCAGCCCAAAAAAAAAAAAAATATGCATGTAGTTCTTAACAGGGGCACAACTGCGGCTCTCCGTGATGAGCTGTACAGCTCGTATGTTGGTCTTTTCCCTCGTGGATAAATGGGTTTATCTATTTCACAAATCAGCAGGATTTATTTTGCAAATGAAATGTCAAAATCTGATCCCAAGTTTGAGATGAATTTAAAGTTTCATTACAATTTATTTTTGTCTTTCAAACTATTCTCTTTTTTTTTCTGCGTGTTGTGATAAATAATCTAAGCAAAAAAACAACAATTAGGCAAAAGTGACCGTCATAAACATATAGGTTCTTTGGAAAACAGTTTTTATGAACAAATTAACTAAAAAACGAGAAAAAATTGTAATAAAGTTGAAAACGTCAAAAAAAATTTTTTTTGCAGAAATTGTTTGAAATATCGAAGCTTTTGATTCCCATAATGGCGCTAGAAAAACTCCAAAAAGACACTTCATTAAGTAAAATTATTTTTTCGGCTTAAATTAAGTATGAATAAGCTATTGTACGCCTGCACGCTCACTTTATTAGCTCAAAATTTGACCAAAAATCAAAAGTTTCAAACCGGTTTTCTCAACACTGAGAAAATTTTAATTTTTCGAAACTTTTCACAATAGTTTGAATTAGGACTGAAAGGGCTTTAATTTGGTATATCATTCGAACGTTTTTGATGATTATTTCTCGTATTTAAGGAAAACAAAAATTTGAAAAAAATGAAAAAACAACTTAAATACACCCGAAAACAAAATTCCTCCCCATTTTCAATAGTCGCAACGAAAAAAAATGAGGTACCACACTCTTTGGGAAACTCCAAATGGAGAAAAACTTCACCCATAGTTCCTTCCCCCTTAGCGAAGTGGTCAGAACAAAAAGAAATAAAATAAATCTTGAGTCATTCTAAGTTGTTTAATACTTCAAAAACAATTGAAACTAGTTCGTATCATGTGTTATCTTAAAACGTTTACTCTATGTGTAGCGTAATCAGGAAAAAAACTGGAGAATAATTCCCTGCAACTTTGGTCATTATTTATCAAATATAACTGTTTAGACTGGACATTGAATCTGATTGGGCATTGGACCAACCAATAAAAGTGCAAAAGGAGATAGTTAGGGACCGCGTGGCCCACAGTCTCGTATACGACGACACCAACGACTTCTTATACTTCGCCACGATTGATTTCATTTGGAGGGCCAGGAAGGACGGAACATCTCTGATCTCTCTCAGGAAAATAATGCCGCATTTCAAGGTCTTGTCGATGGAGTTTAATGTCAAAAAGAGGTTAGTTAAAACTTGAACATTTTCCAAGATAATCCAGAGCTTCACATCATTTGTTTTACGAATAGAAAGAAGAGTTTTTATTAACAGCTTGTAACCACTGGCTAAATATAAACAGAAAACACTTGAGTTCAAATATAAACAGAAAACACTTGAGTTGAAGTTTTGAAATCATCTCATTCAATGTTTGGGTTGACCTTGTTGAATTACATTGAGATATTTATCGGCAGCCAAAAAACTTTCAAGTATAGCCTAGGTTTTGGCTATTTGTGGTATTTCATAGCACGTTGAAATTTCGTAGCAGTGAGGAAAAAATCTAAAACTTTTTAAAGTTAATAACCCAACTCACGACTGATGAGCATAATTTGAGGTACTAAAATTGGCTGAAAAAATACACCGAACTCTTTCGAGTTTCTTACCACTCTTTCGAGATAGGTCGGAACAATTAAGTTCAGTGCATAAACTGGAAAGATAGTGTCAAAAAGTTCAATGACTATTTTATTTGCAGCGAGTTACTTTGGAGTTCTTGGAACGAGCATGATAAAACTGGGAAGTTGACAACATCTCACGTTCCTGAGCTGACTTGCACCAAAGACATTTTCGAAGGGAACTCCAAACTGGAGAGTATGTTCCTGTTTTCACCAGATAAGCTGTATGCGGTAGATTCAATAAATATGAAGATAGTGTCCTTCGATGTCAATACAACCCAGCTGGTTGCATCCAAAAGAAGTCGAGAGGAGTTTTCTGAGGTACACGGAGGGGACGCAGCTAAAGGGCTATTTGTGCATTCGGTTAGTTGATGGTAGTTAACAAACCTATCCTACCATGACCGATTTGGTAAATTTTTGTTCCGACCATTGAAAATGGGGAGGAACTTTGTATTCGGATGTGTGTTAGTTTTTTTTCTTTTTTCTTTCTTTTTTGTTTGCCACGCAAAATCAGGTACCACAAATCATCAAAAATAATCGAATGATATGCCAAATAAAGCCCTTTCAGTCGTAATTCGAAATATTTTCAAAAATTTTTAAAAATTTGTCTCAGTGTTGAGAAAAATTGGTTTAAATCTTTTGATTCTTAGTTCAACTACGAGCAAGTAACGCGATTGAGTGTTTTTCGTTATATAGAAAAAAAAAACATTTTGTTTTATGTTTTTCGGCTCACAAAATTTCAAGTTAATATCAAGAAAAATATTTTGGATGTTTTTGTCAGCGCTTGTTTGCCAATTAAGGTTTTCAAAAAAATTAAAACTATTGTACAAAAAAATAAGAAACAATTTTTTTTTCATTCTTTTGTTTGATAATCATTTTTTTAAAAAAAGTTGTCGATTTTGCTTACTTTGAAGAAAACAGAACAAACTTTTTATTTCAGATTTTCATTGAATATGGTCGGAATATTCTGTGCTATCCTTGCTTTATTTGTTTTTATTCCAAGCATTGAAAATGGGGAGAACCTTGTATTCGGATTTGTGTTTTAGTTTTTTTCTTTTTTGCTTTCCACGCAAAAATAGGTAGATTTAAATAATCTTCATTGATACATCATATTAAAGCGTAATTCCAACGAAATTAAACAGTTTGCAAAAACTGTCCCGGTGTTTTCAATAACTGATTTGAGTTTTTCAAATTTTGGTCGATTTAGAACGAGTAAAACGAGTGAGCAGGATTTTTATAGATGGATGAGCCATTTTTTTGGACATTTTTTTGAAAAATTTTGGCAAAAACAAATCGCGTATTTTTTGGCGCGCACTCCACTAAAAATTTAGTATATATTGGGGCCAAAGATGCCGTAAGAGTTTTCCGGGCTAAAATGGATATAAAATAATAGCAAAGTGGAGAGGGAGGAACCCTTTGGTTGGTGAGCGGGTCAAATCCCTGGAGAGGGGAGTGTCCACCCCCTGCCCACCTAGATCCGCTCATGAACGTTCACTCGGTCCAAAAGTTTTAATCAACTGAGCTTATAAAAACCCTAAACCTGAGTTAAGTTATAAAAATTTGCAATTTTGATAAAGCGCAGAAATGAGAAAACATATGATCTGATGATCTGATTTGAAATAGATAAAATTTGTTCTTCCTCTCTTTCCTTGTTATGTTATGCTGAATATTTGAAATGAATTAGTTCTCGCCGGATAAATAAATTCTTTCCTTCTTTCTTTCTTTCTTTCTTTCTTTCTTTCTTTCTCTCTTTTTGATCGTTCTTTCCTTTTTTTCTTACTTTCTTTCAATCTTTCATTACTTACACACTAAATATTGCCATGAACAAACTTTATTTCAGGAATCGAAGATGATCTACTTGAATGAGAAGTCACGTGAGCTGGTCTTCTGTGCACATTCGGGATGCTCTTTCTTGAACTTCTTCTCCACTGAGTTCACACCCTCAGACATCAAGCTGAACTTGAGCAGACAGATCGCAGGTAAACAGTAGCCGCATTATATATTGATACATATACGACTAATTTACCCAGCCATTCGGTATACGGGTACTGGATATGGGTACTGAACGTTCCCATAGTACCTTTTTAAATCGTCGTTTTCTGATAAATACATCTGAAAAATATTTACCCTTTGGAAAATTTGCGTTTTTTCAGTTTGCCGAGTTTCATTTAATAAATCCAACCCGCATCCAATTTCAAGCGTTAATAATCGATTATATTACCATTTTAGTACCAGTCTTACTAAAATTGAGAAACATTCGATTTTAATCAATTAATAATCGATTATAATCTCTCTTTTTAAAATCAAATTATAATTAATTATAATCCATTATAGTCGATTATAATCGATTATTTATTCGGCTATTTTTCGATACAATTATAATCGATTTTGATTATAATCCATTATAAATCCTTTAAAAACCTAGTTTTGGTAATTATAATTGTCAAAAAATCATCATAATAATCCGTTATAATTGATTACTTACGCCTAAACTTGGATGCGGGAGCTTTAAAGTATTTTTCACAATCACACTGAACTCGTTTTCTGCCTGAATAAAAGATAATCCAGAGCTTCACATCATTTGTTTTACGAATAGAAAGAAGAGTTTTTATTAACAGCTTGTAACCACTGGCTAAATATAAACAGAAAACACTTGAGTTCAAATATAAACAGAAAACACTTGAGTTGAAGTTTTGAAATCATCTCATTCAATGTTTGGGTTGACCTTGTTGAATTACATTGAGATATTTATCGGCAGCCAAAAAACTTTCAAGTATAGCCTAGGTTTTGGCTATTTGTGGTATTTCATAGCACGTTGAAATTTCGTAGCAGTGAGGAAAAAATCTAAAACTTTTTAAAGTTAATAACCCAACTCACGACTGATGAGCATAATTTGAGGTACTAAAATTGGCTGAAAAAATACACCGAACTCTTTCGAGTTTCTTACCACTCTTTCGAGATAGGTCGGAACAATTAAGTTCAGTGCATAAACTGGAAAGATAGTGTCAAAAAGTTCAATGACTATTTTATTTGCAGCGAGTTACTTTGGAGTTCTTGGAACGAGCATGATAAAACTGGGAAGTTGACAACATCTCACGTTCCTGAGCTGACTTGCACCAAAGACATTTTCGAAGGGAACTCCAAACTGGAGAGTATGTTCCTGTTTTCACCAGATAAGCTGTATGCGGTAGATTCAATAAATATGAAGATAGTGTCCTTCGATGTCAATACAACCCAGCTGGTTGCATCCAAAAGAAGTCGAGAGGAGTTTTCTGAGGTACACGGAGGGGACGCAGCTAAAGGGCTATTTGTGCATTCGGTTAGTTGATGGTAGTTAACAAACCTATCCTACCATGACCGATTTGGTAAATTTTTGTTCCGACCATTGAAAATGGGGAGGAACTTTGTATTCGGATGTGTGTTAGTTTTTTTTCTTTTTTCTTTCTTTTTTGTTTGCCACGCAAAATCAGGTACCACAAATCATCAAAAATAATCGAATGATATGCCAAATAAAGCCCTTTCAGTCGTAATTCGAAATATTTTCAAAAATTTTTAAAAATTTGTCTCAGTGTTGAGAAAAATTGGTTTAAATCTTTTGATTCTTAGTTCAACTACGAGCAAGTAACGCGATTGAGTGTTTTTCGTTATATAGAAAAAAAAAACATTTTGTTTTATGTTTTTCGGCTCACAAAATTTCAAGTTAATATCAAGAAAAATATTTTGGATGTTTTTGTCAGCGCTTGTTTGCCAATTAAGGTTTTCAAAAAAATTAAAACTATTGTACAAAAAAATAAGAAACAATTTTTTTTTCATTCTTTTGTTTGATAATCATTTTTTTAAAAAAAGTTGTCGATTTTGCTTACTTTGAAGAAAACAGAACAAACTTTTTATTTCAGATTTTCATTGAATATGGTCGGAATATTCTGTGCTATCCTTGCTTTATTTGTTTTTATTCCAAGCATTGAAAATGGGGAGAACCTTGTATTCGGATTTGTGTTTTAGTTTTTTTCTTTTTTGCTTTCCACGCAAAAATAGGTAGATTTAAATAATCTTCATTGATACATCATATTAAAGCGTAATTCCAACGAAATTAAACAGTTTGCAAAAACTGTCCCGGTGTTTTCAATAACTGATTTGAGTTTTTCAAATTTTGGTCGATTTAGAACGAGTAAAACGAGTGAGCAGGATTTTTATAGATGGATGAGCCATTTTTTTGGACATTTTTTTGAAAAATTTTGGCAAAAACAAATCGCGTATTTTTTGGCGCGCACTCCACTAAAAATTTAGTATATATTGGGGCCAAAGATGCCGTAAGAGTTTTCCGGGCTAAAATGGATATAAAATAATAGCAAAGTGGAGAGGGAGGAACCCTTTGGTTGGTGAGCGGGTCAAATCCCTGGAGAGGGGAGTGTCCACCCCCTGCCCACCTAGATCCGCTCATGAACGTTCACTCGGTCCAAAAGTTTTAATCAACTGAGCTTATAAAAACCCTAAACCTGAGTTAAGTTATAAAAATTTGCAATTTTGATAAAGCGCAGAAATGAGAAAACATATGATCTGATGATCTGATTTGAAATAGATAAAATTTGTTCTTCCTCTCTTTCCTTGTTATGTTATGCTGAATATTTGAAATGAATTAGTTCTCGCCGGATAAATAAATTCTTTCCTTCTTTCTTTCTTTCTTTCTTTCTTTCTTTCTTTCTCTCTTTTTGATCGTTCTTTCCTTTTTTTCTTACTTTCTTTCAATCTTTCATTACTTACACACTAAATATTGCCATGAACAAACTTTATTTCAGGAATCGAAGATGATCTACTTGAATGAGAAGTCACGTGAGCTGGTCTTCTGTGCACATTCGGGATGCTCTTTCTTGAACTTCTTCTCCACTGAGTTCACACCCTCAGACATCAAGCTGAACTTGAGCAGACAGATCGCAGGTAAACAGTAGCCGCATTATATATTGATACATATACGACTAATTTACCCAGCCATTCGGTATACGGGTACTGGATATGGGTACTGAACGTTCCCATAGTACCTTTTTAAATCGTCGTTTTCTGATAAATACATCTGAAAAATATTTACCCTTTGGAAAATTTGCGTTTTTTCAGTTTGCCGAGTTTCATTTAATAAATCCAACCCGCATCCAATTTCAAGCGTTAATAATCGATTATATTACCATTTTAGTACCAGTCTTACTAAAATTGAGAAACATTCGATTTTAATCAATTAATAATCGATTATAATCTCTCTTTTTAAAATCAAATTATAATTAATTATAATCCATTATAGTCGATTATAATCGATTATTTATTCGGCTATTTTTCGATACAATTATAATCGATTTTGATTATAATCCATTATAAATCCTTTAAAAACCTAGTTTTGGTAATTATAATTGTCAAAAAATCATCATAATAATCCGTTATAATTGATTACTTACGCCTAAACTTGGATGCGGGAGCTTTAAAGTATTTTTCACAATCACACTGAACTCGTTTTCTGCCTGAATAAAAGATCTGAATTCGCAATCTTAAACTGCATATTGTGTTTCAGCGGACGCCATAAAATACCAGCCCAAGTTGATCTCAGCACACCAGACATACTACTTTCCCGACTCTGTTGTGTTCGATTTCGACACAGATGCAAATCAAGTATCCAAAGACTATCCTCCCAGATTTGCCAAATTCCAGTACCAGGCTTCAATACAGCTGCTTCAAGGAAAATAACATCATTTAGTGGCAAGGTTTTCAAAATGAGCTTAAGCAATGTCCCACAAAGTTTTCGTTTTTAGAAAAAAGTAATTTGATGATTTAAACCAAGTAAATGTAAATGATGATATTTTGGCCAGAAATTGCACCCACGGAAAAAGCTGTTTCCAAGTTAGTTCTCGCAGGCACCAAAAACGAATTCAGAAATCTCGTGGGCAGTTCTAGTTTCCAGCTCAACATTTCGTACCGAGAAGCAGAATGTCCAAACTCACATTTCAGATTGCTCGGGAGCCTCAACGTCTGCACAGGTTTTGTGTCTGTTATTAAAAACATCAGTGGATCCATGAGAAACATTTTTTGATTATTAAAAGTCTTATCGGGATATCCAGTACATCTTCAAAAATTCAACGCTAGTATTCCAGCGTATTTTTTTTAACTGAGTCAATTTGAAAAACAAGTGGTCGATTTCAAAAAATATGCGGATCAGGATCCTCCCGGTATTGGATTTCATTTAGGGGCAACCAAATTTAAGGGAAACGAAGGCAAAAAAAACTCGAGAGCCTTTTATTTTTAGAACCAGCAGAGGCGTATGATTTTGCCTTTGATGGAGAATACATTTTCTGGAAACACAGCCGTGAAATCATCCCTTCTGATTGGATAGTGGCATTATACAGAGCTGGACAGTCTTCCCAGCCAGGCTCAATCCAGCAAGCATATCCGATAAATTTGGCTGTGAAAGGAGACCACGTGATATATAGATTGGTAAGAAAGTGTCACTTAGGGATTCGCGGGAACTTGTTCGCTGGAACCAGGCGGGTTTATTGGGCCGTCTCTATTCCTCCCTGTGTTTATTCAAACCTCTCAAGACCCTTTCGTCTTTTGCCCACGGCCTGGAAAAATCGCATCTTTTTTTTAGTATATTCAAAAAACTTTAGGCACGTTATTCCAAATTTCTTGAAAAGTTAACGCGTCGGAGAAAAATAACTTAGAAAGTCATATCTTGCCTGCAGAGATCGATATTTGTTGACCTAAGAAATCGCTTGACAAAACTTACGAAATGCTTCGCAAACCCATTTTTGTAGAAAAACCATAGATCCGTCTTTCGCAGAAGAATAAATTGGAAACCTTGTGAGGGTAGGAAAGTTTTTTCAGATCAGATGCAGATTTAGAGACAGTCGTTTTGAGGTTGTCACTAAGAATTTGTGTAAATCACTTACAATTTCGATTCCACGACACTTAAGTGCCGACAACATTTGCGTTACAAGGTATTAGGTTATGGATTCCATAAAAATGTGGTAGTTGCATTCGTATATTCATATTTGACAGGCTTTAAGACTTGTCTCTGGATTTGACAGACACACATACACCAAATGAGGCGTTTATAAAGTCATCATCAGTTCATTATCAGCCACTGAAAAAAACTGATAAGATTACTTTTAAAAGCGAGCAATGAGGTGACTATACTTCTAGTAAGCATGTCCAAAGTGTTTTCTCGGAATTAATGTTGCCCCTTTACCTCAGACTTATACAGGCTACATTCATGTTATTAAGAGCATCTCACATGCGCAGTGGATCTCCAACTTGCGAATGTGCATCTTTTTTAGGACACCTTGGGCCGAATGAAGTACAATGACTCCCTCAAACTTATCGCCCAATTTGAGTGCGAGGGAAACATCCTGACCAGCAGGGCAACCGAGTTCGAAATCAGACAGATTGTGGATGTCGATGACACTGCATTCGAGAAAGCAACCACGTCGACAGGTTCAGATATGCAAATACGTTGGATAATTGTATTTAAAAAACAGCTTCACATTTTACGGACACTTACGGCTACAAAGTTCTGTCGGAAAAAAAACTTTGGGTTATATACTTGAAGTTCTAAGCCCTGAAAAAACATGCTGTAAAAACTAGACTTATAGTTTTGTAATGTATTCACTTAAGAACTTTTGCAGTGCCTGAAATTTTAAGAGGATTTAATGAAATAAAATGATAAAAGTTCGGTTCTGAGCTCATAGCAAACTTTGATCTGATATTTCAAATTTGCGAAACAAAATGTTTCATTTTAGATTCAGGCGCTGAAATGCTGGTTCAAGATGAGGATCTAACCTCATACAAACTACTATTCGTATCACTCGTGATTCTTTTACTCGGCATGATTTTTCTCTTATTCAGCTACTACAGAAAAAAGAAAACTAAACGAAAGTTCAACAAAACTGCAATTGACCAAGTGAAAGTGGCCGAGAATGTTGTGAGATATTCGACCTTGAGGCGGTCTGTCAATTCTTACGCAACAATCAGCACCAGTCGACCTCTGTTACATAATCAGAGGGATAGTTATCTCATTGGCAGTACTGAAGATTCAATTTATATGGAGATTGGCACCCAGTTTTTCACAGAGTGAGTTTTTTTTATCTGTAAGGGAGAAATGACGAAATGATGTATAACAATAACATAATCAGTGTAAAAATATCAAAACAAAAGCTGAATTTTACAATCGATTATCTCATATAACTTTATTTAAAGTTTTTTCTCCAATTTCTTGTTTAATTTTCTTTTTCTGTTCTGATAATTGTTCATCTGTATTCAGGCAAACTGAACCCGAAGTTGAGTCTCAAAACAGCGTGCGAATGGAGACAAAAGAACCCGACGCTCAAATTCGAGAATCAGTGGAATCTCGCCAAGCGGAGCCGAACTACTACAGTTTCATTGAAGATGAAATTGAAGCAGAACACGAAATGCCAGAACTAAATGACAACAATCAAAGCAAAAACAACTACTTTGTTCAGTATCCTCCTATGAAAACATTCAACTCACCAGAAACTCACATATACTCTTACCCACGTAAAAATAGTTCCTTTTAGGCTTCATTAGACAAATTGTTAATTCGAAAATCGTATATTAAGAATTATGCCTTAATTAAACGTAGACGTCGACTTCTCATATTGCTGGTTTAAGGCTTGATACTTTTTCCATCGTCAATATAACTATCATAACTTTATTTAGGGAAACTTGCGTAAGCATATAAGAGCAAACAAATATCAATTCATAACAAGACTGCTCGTATCAGGGTGAAGCCCTGAATGTTCCGACCGCCTTTTAATGTTTATGGAGCAGTAATAACATTTAAGAAATTAAATGAAATAAAACAAAATGAAATTTTTTTCTAAAAATTTAATTTTTTTAAATAAAAATCATCCCCCCACACGCCATATTAAGTACAAAAGGATAGATTTAGCTCCTTGTAACAAATCAATTATGGCAAATAAGTTTCTTTCAACCAATTTGGAACGATTTCTAAGACGGATTAACTCTCCGCTTACGCGTTAATAGCGCGAATTATATCGCGCGTTAATTGTCCCAAATTGGTCAAAATGGCAATCTTTAAACCCTCATAACTTTACGAAAAAAGATTACAGGTAAAATATCTTTTCAAATTTAAGCTCAGGACAACAATACCTTTCGAATGATAAAAAAAAAATTCCGTCAAAAATGGCTAGTTAAAAAGTCGAAATTTGTCTGAAGAGAAAAAAAATCCACCCGAGCACAAATATTCCGTTACTTTCGTATCGAAAGTCGGAATAACAAAAATAACCGGTTGCTGCGCTAGTAGCTCAAAATATTATTTTCCGACCACATTCATAGAAAATACACACACAAAAAAGCTTTTAAAAAATTATTGTCGATTTTTTTGTGCGTCAAGTGATACTATACAAACATGTAGAAACTTCATAAATTGGGCATAATCCAGAGCAGCTGTCTTCGTAAAAAGATAACCAAACAAAAAAAATAAATATCTGAGAAACTTTCTGACTTTTTTTGCAGAATGATTTTTGATTCTTTGAATACTTTTATTGCCAAGGAAGCGCTAAATAGAGCTTTCAAGACTATTTTTTCTGGAGTAAAACAAGGTTTTTAACTACTGCCTCACTCACACAACAGTTCCAATCACAACATACAGGGCTTTAATCTAACAGGTGGCATTGGCTCCTTTCGATAATTTTTGTGTGGTACCTGAGTTTAGGGTACCAGAGAAAATTTCGAACAATTTCTCGTGAATTAAAAATTTCTCACCGTTTAATTAGAAACCACTGATGATTTTAACAAACAACAAAAGGTTTCCCAAAAAGTAGTACCACTCATTAAGCAGGATACTGTTGAATGAAATTAAGCAGGCCTGAAAAGGGATAAAACTTATTTGAAGAACAAATATCCGATAAAAGTAGTTATTGAAGCCATGTGAATAAAATATTTTGACAAATTTTTATATCTTTTGTATTCATTTGGTCAACTTCTTGACATTAATAAGTTTTTTCAAAAATGTAAATGCTGTCGAAAAGAAAGGTTTCAGGGATTTCATCATTGAAATTTTCCTGCAGGCAATAAATGGCAAACTAGCTGCAAATAAAAGTTTCAAAATTAGATTCGATGTTAATAATGGTCTAATGTCGAAAATTGGCTCATTTAGAGACAATTTTTTATGCTTGGTCATTTCTTTTGTTTCTTCAGTGTTTCTTTTCGAGTTTCTTTTCGAGATCATTTACGAGGGTTGCTTCGTATAAATTTCGTAGATCGTTGTTTTTAGGATTCCAAGTGATCTGCAGGACTCAGAGTAGTTGGAATGTGATGCCATTGTAGTTGATGATCCATTGTTGAGATTTCAGTCAGTCGATTTGCCACAAATATTTTTTGCTGTTTCGTTGATTTTATCCAATCGAGTACTACCTGACTGCCTGTCCAGACATGTAAAACAGCTGTTCTGTTGAGATGAAATTCTTTGGACACAAATGACAAAAGACGTGCTCCAATTGTTGCAGCTTCTAATTCAAGTTTTGGTACACTCAGTTGTTTAATAGGCGCAACCTTTCTTTTGCCAATCAAAAACTTACATTCAAGGACTGTTTCGTCTAAATTAAGCATTCGCAAGAAGAGGACTGCGGCCATACCGATGAGTGAAGCGTCAATAAATGCGTGTATTTCCAAACTCCACGATTTATTGCTTTGGAAACAAAATCCTTGGCAAAGTTATTCTTTCCATCCTGAGAAAAAAATCCAGGAATTTCTGTAGCTTGTGTTGATGGTCACTAGCCTATCTGATTATCCCATTTCAAACTTAGCCTCCAAATCTGCTGGCTGCAGTAGAGCCTTCAAACGAATTTTTACTGGTGCTAAAAATTCCTAGAGGGTCGAAAATAGACCACAACAAGCTGAAGAGTTTCTGTTGAGTATAATTATCAGCCAGAGTTGGAAAGTTTTGAAGGGGATCAACAAAAAACTCATCACTGTCAATTTTTTCAGTTTTGTCCAAGAACACGAATTGAAGTTTTTATCTCGTCGTGGTCTTCGCAAGGAATATGTTGCAGGGCGAGCTTGTTGTTAGATAAGAACTTGGTGAGACGAAAACCACCTTGTTATAAAGACTCCCTGGTTTCTCTTGAAACGCATTGTGCTTCACCTAACGTCGGTACTGAGGCAATGTAGTCATCCAAATAAAACTGTCTAGAATTGCATCATAAGCCAGAGGAAACGAGTCTTTGTTGTCCAAAGCGCGTTTTTGTAATGCATAAATAGCGCAGAATGGGGAACATGTGGCTCCAAATATTAACCGCGTGTATTCATACTGACGAACTTTTCCGTTATAGCTCCAGAGAAAACGCAAGGCTGGCCTATCTTCTTCACGAATATTTATTTGCATAAACATCCCTTCAAAATCGGCAAGAAGACCAATAGAATGTTTGCGGAAGCGCAGCAGAATCCCTGTTAAATTTGCAAGTAGATCTGGACCTGTGAGGAGATTGTTGTTAAGTGATTGGCCTTTGAAAAAAAATGCGGCGTGGGCTACCCTTCTGATTTTTGTTGGTTTATTTGGGTTTTGTACTGGGTGATGTGGTAAATACCAAATTCGCGAGGGTTTTACTCTTTTCAGTTCTACCGGTCGCACGTGTTTCTTTTCGAGATCATTTACGAGGGTTGCTTCGTATAAATTTCGTAGATCGTTGTTTTTAGCAAGTCGGCGATCAAATGATTTTAGTTGATTTCGGGCTATGTAGTAGTTATTCTGCAATTGAGTCTAATTCTTCCACGGTAAACCATTTTCATACTTTTCTCCCGTGTGATGTATTTTGTTTTCAAGGATTCGAATTGCCGCCAAATTGTTTTCGGTATAAAACTCCTTTTCTGTTGTTTTTAGTCCTGTTTCTTCAATTTTCCAGAATTGCTGAACCAATTAGTCCAATGGTTGCTCAACAGATTCATTTGACTTTCTTGTAGCGTGGAATACAAATCCCAAAGTTTGTCTGTTGCGCACTTTATTCAATCGTGTGGGAGCAATTGTTTGGTGATATTCTCCTGCAATTGTCGAGCCCAGTCGAGTTTGTATTCCGTGTGGTCGGCAATCATTTCCTTCAATTACTTGAATGGGATACGTATAAGAGAACTTACTAATGCCAAGTAGCGCTGCAATTCTTCCGCCAGCAATATTGGGAAATTTTATGTGTCTACAACCTTTGAAACCCTGACAGATTCCATTGAGATGAGCAACATCTGCAGGAGGTATATTCAAAAATGGCGTTTTATAAACATTACGAAATAAAAACGTTTGTCCCGTTTGTTTGTACGGTGCTAAATTAACGATGTTGTCTAGTTTTGCAACCGGCATCTCATGGTTGATATTTATAAATTGTGAAGACATGTTTGCTGTTTCTGATGATGAGATTTCCAAGAAGTCTGCAATTTGATCAAGCATAAAAGTAAATTGGCTGCCAGGGTCAATGAGAGCGTAAGTGTCACAAACTTTACCACTATTGACGAACGACACTGGGATCAGCTGTAATTGTTCGAACCAAATGTTGGGTAACCGTTCAAATGTTGCTTTCTCTGAAGCAGTAAACCCTCCATTTTTTATAAAAATGAATTTCACTGTCCGCTTGTTTTTGTTGATGGTATGTGATTTTGTCAATCCTATGCGACTGGCCGTATCTGCTAGAGGTTGTGGTTGTAAATTCCTTATCATCTTCGTTTTTTTCCTGAGACGATTGCTGCATATGATGCACTGTTTTTGCTTGTAACTCGAGATGGATCATGAAGTGAAGTATGATGGAACCCTCTTCATAGCTGACATCGTCTCTCTTAAGTGCAATTATTTCTTGAATGACGAGAACTTAAGCAATTTGTGCAGAGCTCATGCTGTTTTACCAAATTATATTTCTCAACTGGTGCTAAAATCCGGCAGCGGGGGCAATGAGCCAAAAAATGTTCCTGCGATTAATTGAAGCATTTTTTGGAAGGATATTGCAATTTGGTTGTCGTATTGATGTCAGACCCCATTTTAGCGCTTTGCTTACTTCCCAAAAACGTTTGATTTTGTGTCTTAAGTTCCTGATCTTTGACCGCTGACGTCCCCAGAAACGAGTGCTCCCCTTGTAATCTTTCCAATACTTTAGCTTGTATTTCAAGCCACTCCTGAAACAATTGTACGTTGTTGTTTTGAAAATTTTCACGGACAACGTATTCGGTCCATTTCATAAGTAATTTGTCAGGAACTTTAGTTTTGATAAATTTGAGTAAAGCTGTAGAAAGGATGCAAATGAAACAACTGAACGATTGTTACTAGTTGAGGACGGCCAAGTTTCAATTTGCTGAATGAAAACCTTTACAATATAGTTTGAGTCGCCAAAATGATTTTGAAGGTCCCTCAGTGCGGCTTTGTAAAAAGCAGGGTTACATGAGTACCCTTTGATGAGTGCTTTTGCTTTTCCTGACACCGAATCCTGTAGATAAGTCATCCGGTGAGTGTCACTCATTGTATGATTCCTGTCAACTGTAGCCTGGAACATGTTTATCCAGTCGTGGTAAGCCATCGGGTCTCCGTCGTAGTTTGGTAGCTTAATTGGAGAAAGTTTAACAGAAAACTTATAGTCTTTTTTTTCATGTCCGGGTAAAAAACTTGCGTAAGTTTCACAGCTGTGCATTGTTGGAATGGGTTGAGCTTGGTTGTAGTTCTGATAATTGAAACATTTTGAATTATTTTCTCCAAATGGATCTCTATTTTATTGACTGTTTGATGAAGTCGGGTTATTTATAGCCTGATCAAGATGATGTTGTGCATGTATATTGTTTGTTTGGTAGCTGTTACCAACATGAGTATCCCTTATTTGGTTGTATATATGGTTCTGAACCGTTGGAATGGGCCGCGTTTGGTTCTAGTTAGCATTATTGTTATATAAGGAATAGTTTTCCCTAAAAGCATCTCTATTCTGTTCACTGTTTGATGAAATTGGGTAATTTACAACCTGATCAATATTATGTTGTGGCTGTATATTGTTTGTTTCGCTTCGTATACGGTGTCGATTATCTGGTTGCATGGATGACTTTGCACTAGCAGATGCGGTGGAGTTTGGTTGTAGTTAGAATGAATGAGGTACCATGAATGATTTTCTCTAAGCGCATCTCTATTCTGTTCGCAGTGTGTTGATATCGGGTTGTTGAAAACCTGTTCATGACAATGATGTGCATGTAGAGTGTTTAATTGATTTTTATCATATCCATGACTATCCACTACCTGGTGCTTTTTATTATCCCCATGACTATCCACTACCTGGTTGTTCAAATCCAAAGTTCTTTGAAACTGTTCAACCGAGTGACTTTGAGCAAACGGGTTCCGATTCGCTTGTATGACAGTAGGGGGAGATGTATACTGCTCTAAATTTTTTTGATGAGTTAGATGGAAATTATTCTCCTTTGAAGTTGATGTTTGTATAACGTTTCCTGGTTGCTGAAGATTGGAATAAGCAAATGAAGATTCCAATAAAATTTTTTCGTAGAGTTTTGCATGGACTGCTGGAGCTGAAAACTGAAACGAATCATGGATGGATTCTTTTCTCTCTGAAAGTTGCTTCAGCAACACGCGGCATTAGAGTTTGGCGACCGCTTGCTCCGCTGCGCTTCAATTCAACACGAGTATTATTGTGCGCGTAAATCTTTTTTGTGCCGATAATTTAGACGGTTGTGTTTTTGAAGTTGATAGTTTTGTTGACAAATCATGAGATAATTGAACTAATTGAGGAAGCTTCGCCCCAGACTGAGCATCTTTTTGGGTCTGTCAGTCAATCATCTATCACTTTTGTACGTTGGTCTGGTAAAAGACACGTTTTTCACTTTTTATGCTAGAAGATTGTTCTTCTAAACGATCGGTCCCCTATCAATGAGAAGGGAATGTATCATTGATTGTTGAACAAAAACGAATCAGCTCTACAGTATCAAAATATATACCAAAAAATTGCTTTAAATGATTAAATGATCTATACTTTGGAGTGGGAACGGGAATCCAATGTTTTTGCACAAAAACAAAAATAAAAAAACAAAAGAGCTAAAAAGCTATTTCAAAATCACCAGATAAAAGTAAGAACTTCAAACAAGTTCTCTTTTTTGTTGGTATACAAATATCTTCCGCAATGATTTTTTCAAAAAAGCGTTTTTCACTTTTCACATTTGTCAAAAAAAAGTACAAAAAAGGGACAGTTTTTCTACTTAAGACTTAATGGACTTAAAACAAAACAAAAGCTCTGTATAAAGCATGCAAATTCTAAAAACAAAGACGTTTTTAAAAACTCTTTTTTGTTTTTTGGAAAGTTAGTATCCAACATGTTGAGGCAAGCATCGGGAAATAAGTAATTCATTTTTTTCCCACAAACTTGATGTTGATGTATCTGAGTATAGTGTTGTGATTAGTATAAATATCTTAAAATGTATGTAAATTGTTCTGACAGTTCAGAAAACATGACGGCTTCAAAGAATTTGAATATAATTTGCTTGATTTTGTGGACTTGAATTTGCAAACAAAAAATCGTTTTCTAAAAATTTCGAAATCACAGTAGAGCCAGCACCTGAGATATGCCAGTATACTGCAACAATTTTTACCTTTTTCTCTTTTAATTATTACATTCCTGAAATTTTTCAACAAATTTAACTTTAATTTCAATAAAATACTTCACTGATTTTTATTTTCAACACGCAATTTTTTTTTTGTATTAAGAAATCAAACTGTGATAAATTTGTAGGGGTCAGTTAAAATACTTAAAACTACGTTTAATTTTGTTCATGAGTGTATCTCGCTCTATATGTTACAGAAAAGGGCTTGAAATTTATTTCGGTTTGTTGAAATTGAGACTTTTTTTTGAAATATAATGCTAGGAGTGTTGAAACTAAGTGCAGGAAACAGGCCTATTGAAGTCAAAAATACGTTTGTTAAAAAATACAATCAGGTAGGTTGAAAAAATGAAACGCCAAAAACTTACACGCAACGCTCAAAATTTAACGATAAACGCAAAAGGTGTTTTAACGAAAATCAATCAAAAGTATCAAAAAAGTATTTTTAATTTAATTTTGGATCGCTTAGAAAAAGATTGTATTTGGCAATATTAAAGCTAAGAGAGAGAGAGAGAGGGGGGTGTTTTCTGACCTCTTTTCTGGTCATGACATCTTTTCTTGTCGATTAACTTAAATTGAATCTAATACATGGACGCGCTCGACGTCGGCAATATTAAATTGAAAGAGAAGTGTGTCGTGCCAAAAAACGCATGAACAAAAACGTTCAGAAGAATTCTTTGAAACGTTTTTTTCTGAAATAATTTTGCATGCTTCCCAGAAATTGTTTTCAAAATATGTGCTTTAGAAGAGCTCAACCAAAGTGGTTATCCTAGAAAAATTGAATTACAAATTTTTTAACAACTTTTTTGAAATCCCACGTCCATTCCTTAAGAAACTCGTAGCTCCATGATTGATTTAAGCCCCCATGTTTTGACAAAAAACATCGCTGGTGAAAAATCATTATAAAAAACTTGATGTCCAAGTTGATAATTTTGCACAGGGCTTTCATTGAAGTTTTTAAAAACTCTTTTTTATTTTTTGGAAAGTTAGTATCCAACATGTTGAGGCAAGCATCGGGAAACAAGTAATACGTTTTTTTCCACAAACTTGATGTTGATGTATCTGAGTATAGTGTTGTGATTAGTATAAATATCTTAAACTGTATGTAAATTATTCTGACATTATATAAAACATGACGGCTTCAAAGAATTTGAATTTAATTTGCTTGAGTTTTTGGACTTGAATTTGCAAACAAAAAATCGTTTTCTAAAAATTTCGAAATCACAGTAGAGCCAGCACCTGAGATATGCCAGTATACTGCAACAATTTTTACCTTTTTCTCTTTTAATTATTACATACCTGAATAATTTTTCAACAAATTTAACTTTAATTTCAATAAAATACTTCACTGATTTTTATTTTCAACACGCAATTTTTTTTGAATTAAGAAATCAAACTTTGATAAATTTGTAGGGGTCAGTTAAAATACTTAAAACTACGTTTAATTTTGTTCACGAGTGTATCTCGCTCTATATGTTACAGAGAAGGGCTTGAAATTTATTTCGGTTTGTTGAAATTGAGACTTTTTTTTAAATATAATGCTAGGAGTGTTAAAACTAAGTGCAGGAAACAGGCCTATTGAAGTCAAAGTTACGTTTGTTAAAAGATACAATCAGGTACGTTGAAAAAATGAAACGCCAAAAACTTACACGCAACGGTTGAACATCAAACGTTGAAACGTTGTAACGTTGAAACATTGCAACGTTCAACATTTAACGATAAACGCGAAAGGTGTTTTAACGAAAATCAATCAAAAGTATAAAAAAAATTTTTTCAATTTTATTTTATATCGCTTAGAAAAAGAACGTATTTGGCAATATTAAAGCTAAGAGAGAGAGAGAGAGAGAGAGAGAGAGAGAGAGAGAGGGGGGGGTGTTTTCTGACCTCTTTTCTGGTCATGACATCTTTTCTGGTCGATTAACTTAAATTGAATCTATTACATGGACGCGCTCGACGTCGGAAATATTAAATTGAAAGAGAAGTGCGTCGTGCCAAAAAATGCATGAACAAAAATGTTCAGAAGAATTTTTTGAAACGTTTTTTTCTGAAAATATTTTGCATGCTGCCCAGAAATTGTTTTCAAAATATGTGCTTTAGAAGAGCTCAACCAAAGTGGTTATCCTAGAAAAATTGAATTACAAATTTTTTAACAACTTTTTTGAAATCCCACGTCCATTCCTTAAGAAACTCGTAGCTCCATGATTGATTTAAGCCCCCATATTTTGAGAAAAAAGTATCACTGGTGAAAATTTATTATAAAAAACTTGATGTCCAAGTTGATAACTTTGCACAGGGCTTTCATTGAAGTCTTTTAAATAGGATGTAAAATGCCGCCAAAAATGATTATTTGCGACACCTGTCTTGAGAAAAAACCATGCTCAATAAATCAGGTTCTTCACTAGTGGAAAGGATGACGTTTCACACAGACCAGTTTGAAGATTTGATCTGTTTTGTGCTTTTGAAACAGTGTTTTCTAGAACGTTTGATCACATGATGAATTGTTTTTTTTTTGTGCAGAAATTGAAGTTCACTGCTATGAAATTATCCGGTTATTAGTAAGGTCATAAATTGCAAATGACAATTCCTTTCCTTGTATTTATAATCCAATATTCTCTGCTTATGATTACGGTTGAGCTGCAAGCTTCAGCGTGCAGCCTTTTCCAAACACCTGTTCTTTTTTTTTCACTTTTATACAAATTGATTGCATTTAGAAAGAAAGATGGTATGAAAAATTGAAGCATTTTAAAGCATGTAATCCAGGTGAACACTGCGTTTATCCATCGTTACAGACTGCATAATAACCGCTTTATACCGTGAAACTCGGTATAATATATTTACCGTTCAATTACATGGTAATAGACATTGATATTAAAATGCTTCCGCAATCTTTATTGTATCATATGTCCTACGAATATGTTCTATGAAATACGAATAGGATAATTATAGTATCAAAAATCATCCGATTCGGAGCTTTCAAAAATCATTAAACATTAATTGTCTTTTTCAAGATGATGTTCCTCTAGATTATTGTTCTGATCACTCGTAGTTTTTAATTATATATACCATCATATTTTGCGCTACATTAACGGAAAGATAATATGGCCAGATTATTATTAACATTTTCACGCTCCAGACGTATAGAAAAAAGTATTCAATAGACGAAAAAATCTTGAAATTATTATTTGAGTTGCAACTTATCTCTAACATGTAAGTTTAATTTACTCAATTAAATTATCAGACTCATTCAAAACTAGCTTTAAAAGATACGATTTTTCATCGCAGAATCAAAATGGTGTGTACTTGGTACTGTTTTTGCTACAAAAACAAAAGCAAACTTTAAACATGGTATATATTCATGATTTAAAGTACATTCTCTTCGTTTAAAGCAATACAGAACTCTTCATAAGTATAAAACACGAAAAAAGAGATTTCAAGTTTTGGCATTCAACTGGATAAAAACTATCGTTTTTGTTACAATATACAACTTTATTTAACTCCATGTTATAACTTTGGTTTTAGAACCAAGAAAAAACATTATATGAAGTACATAACTTAATGAGACTTTACAACCATACAAGGAGGTCTGATCACTAGACCAAGTGAAGCACTTCACTGACAGTTTCGTTTGGCGAAGACGAAAATTAAAATCAAAAATCTAACCAAGAACAACAAAATAACCATCTGCCTTCACTTCACTCAAACTCAGCTGACTTCACTGATTTTGGACTTTTGTCTGAATCTACACAAACAAGTCATTGAATACTTTCGTCCAGGAAACATCCAAGAAATTATGAAACTTTGAGAAAAAATAAGATTTTAAATAACCGCTTTGCCGAAATGACATCTTCGAGGGCATGCGAACAGACAACAAGCTCGAGTAAACTTGGCACAGAAAACCCGGACGACTTTTTAATCGACGTGCATGGAACTGACAAAATAGTGGATGCTCAGTCACCAACCGCTGCTTATCGCGCTTCCGCTAGCCAATCAGGTTTTGTGGACGAGCAAGAGGAAGACGAGTTGGATGACTCACTCACGAGTTTAAATTGGCTGCACTCTATGCAAGGTGGATTTCAATTAGACCAAACCAGTGAGGTGAAAAAAGACGGCAGCTGTGAAGATAAAAAAGAACTGAGCGAGGATCGAACTTCAACTGCTGTCAAGCAGGTGCATTCGCCTCCTACAGCTAACTGCACCAAGTTGACGATTCCGATGAAAAGTATAGCAAAAACTGCGACACGAGCGCCTCCCAATAGAAACAAAAACTTAATTAATGTCGCGGCTGCTTTGAACAATGCGCAAAATTTCGTCACTATTTCGCCTACAAAAAACATTAAGCAAAGCTCAAAAATTGTCTCGATCAATGATAATGCTGTAACTTCAAGACCGCTCTCTCAGAAAACGATGTCTAAAAAGATTTCAATCACCACTATTCCGGCCAAGAGGGAAGTGACGACGATAGTGAATGGGAATTTGGGTCTGACTGCCAATATGGGTCTGAATAGGACAGTGGGATTGGCCAATAGGAACGGAGCAAGCTCGGGCACATTTGTTCCCGCGGTTTTGTCGAGAGCTGGTTCCACAGAGCAAGGTAAGTCAAGTCTTACTTTTTCTAAGGTCCAATGAGTGAACAAATAGAACCACGACTAATAAGTTTTTTGTCGGGTTCAAATATCAGGTTCGGCGTTGGGTTGATATTCTACAAATATCAATCCAACACTGAGAAATCACCTAATCAAACTCCAACACAAATTCAGGATAAAATGAGCTATATGAAGAAAAAATGAATTAAAAAATGAAGTCATCAAATGTAGAAATAATCAAAAGTTTATGTTGATTTAATTCTATAGGTAGCGATTTCATCCCTTATCCAATGAACAACACCGGCAACCACCACTTACTCTTAAATTCGACTCTTCAAAACTTCTCTTCTCAACTAAGTACCAATGCAAAGGGGTCAGACGCCGCCCAACTGCTAGACGACCCAGATGTGTCTAAATACAAGTACAACCACCTGATCAAACCTCCTTTTTCCTACACTACTCTAATCTGTATGGCTATGAAGGCGAGGGGGGCTTCGATAGACGGGAAGATCACTTTAAACCATTTGCTGAGTTGGATTGCGGATAACTTCAGTTACTACAAGCATTCGGACCCCGCCTGGCAGGTTGGTTGACATGCACGAGCAATACTTGTTCTTCACTGCTTCAGTTTGTCATGGTTGTAGTCAGGAGTAAGACTGGCAGTAGCAGTTTTAGAGCGGGAGGGAAGCGAAGGTGGACACCAGCCTCAAAATGTTTTTAATAATATTAAATGACAAATTTGTGTCTTTATAGTTTTTTGAAGGACCTCGAAAATTGAGTTTCTTGTAATATTTGGTGTATTTTTAAACTCCCAGACTGCATTATCTTGGTTTGATTTGTCTTGCAACATAAAATGTTTTAAAAGTGCTCCAACTATTGTGTGTCCTAGAACAACGTGTACCACGCCTTGACAAGCAACAAGTGCTTCCAGAAAGTGGCCACAGGCAGTCAGAGCAGTGGAGTGTTCGGCAGCTTCCAGGAGGAGTTGAGCAGTGGCAACTCCATCTGGCGCATATCCCCCACCCACCAGCACGAGGTGGACTCCATGTTCAAGAAGAAGAGGGCGCTCCAGCAGCCCACTTCGGCTCACAATGGCAATCTGAAAAAACCAAGGTGAGTCGTTGATTGATTAAAGGAGAAAATTGCTTTGAGTCTTTCATTTTCTATCAGTTAACTCATTTTTTTGGTAAATGATTTGCAAGATGACTGTTTTTTATAGATTTGAACGTATTTAAAATCACGGGAAAAATAAGTTCCGACCAGTAAATTGAACAAAAACTTTTCGTTTTGTTGAGTCTTCCAGGGCGGTTCTAGGATTTTCTAGATGGAAGGGGGCGGATTTTCAAAAAAATTTCAAAAGTTTTGTCGACTTTTTTTTAGGTCGACCGAACTGGATTTTCCGAGCTCTCCCAAAGCATTAAAAAGACCCGGTTTTGGTCAATTTTTTTTGCGCCGCAGACGAATATTTGAAAAACAGGCATAAAGGCGTTTTTAGGCACTTTTTGGAAAACGTTGACCAAAAAATCGCGCTTTCTCGGCGCCGCTCCCACCAAAGGCGCCTTCAGAAATTTTTTAGGGTCCTTCGACAAATATGGATACCTCAAAATAGTGCATAGTGCAGGGGGTCGAATCCATGAAGGAAAGAAAAACGTCCGCCCCACCAAACCCCCCCCCCCCCCATCTAAATCCGCCCTGGTTGAAATATGATATATGAAGTCTTTCAAAATGATGAATGAATTGATTCAAAAGGATGAAAAATAGATGTTGTTGAGCCAGAGAGCTGATATGGTTGCCGGAGAGCCCTAATAAGCTCTTTAATTTAGTTATTCATTGAAAAGCAACGGATATTGGCCTTACCTCATATAAGTTTCGCTCAACCAAAAACCAATTGTCCAGCTAAAAACAAACAAACTCAGATTTGTGAAATTTAAGAACTATATTTATGAATTGTTCGACAAATTTTGTCACAAAATACAATAAAACATTTTCAAGTTTCTTCTTATAAATGGGTAAATGTATGTTAGATCCATTTCAATAAATTTGAGTCAAAGTTGAACCTTAACCATTTTTAGCAAAAACAACAATAGATTGAAGGAAATTTTCAATCAATTAATACATCGGTTGAAAAATAATAATCAAAGCTTCTTGGTCCGCGACTGTATGAGCAAAATTTGTTCTTTAGGAGTTAAATAATTGAAATTTGGGTTTTATTAATTTAGGTTTGCATTTAGTTTCAACATAATTGATTGTACATTTCAACAAAAACAACTTAGCTTCAACAAGTCTTAGAAGTTATTGGCAATTGATTTTAGTTGCTACATTATTATTATTTTTTTCTAACGTTTTTTGCCATCAGCTCGGTGAAAGTAAACGCATTTTGCTTAAAGCTTTTTTAAATAATGGTGGCGTTCAGGCACTTCAGCTAGAGACGATTTGGTTTTTTTTTGTTTGGACTTATCAGTTAAAGTATTTCAGGCTTTCAGTCATTTAACATTGAGACTTTTGAGACAACTTCAATTGCAGACCTATAAATCAATCTAAAATAGCGGTAAACGCAGATTCACGCGCCCAATACTATTCGTGTCGAATTGAAGCGCAGCGGAGCGAAGAGGAGCATGCGGTCGCTACTTGCCGAGATTATGTCTATTTTTTATTTTCGAAGAAAACTTCTGCTTTATTCCTAAATTGGCTGAACTTTCTCTGGCTTAAATGTCTCAATTTGAAAATCGCTGAAATGTCTTTGTTAAAAACGTCGCGGCACCATTAAAATTTAATATAACATTTAAAAGTCAGGAAGAAGACTCGTTGAAAATGTGAAAATGTGGAAATAAAGTTAATTTTATTGGAACTTACAATCAGGACTGTTGAAATCAATAGCAAAAAGGAACAGTATCCAGTTTACGATTCTCCTAAAAAAACTGCCTGTCATACCATTTTCATGCTTGTCATAGAGGACTCATACACGTTTCTGTACGTATGAACTTGTATGAAATTGTCAAATTAGAAAATTTTCATAAATTAAAACTACATGAGTAGATATTCAGCCCGGGTAATTGTTCAAAGTGTAATTGTTCAAAATTGTATATGTCAAAGTAATTTGCCATATCATAGTCCGTCATTATCGACGCAAAAGTTATGAGCATAAATCGGTATCGAAAGTAAAAACTCAAAATAACGATTTGATTTGGTAAATGTTTCAGGTTTGCGCCAAATGGAATGATAGACGCTCATTCTATCATACAAATAGGAGCAAACACCAATGCCAGCACCAACAACGGAAACAATAGTAGTAACAATATTAGTAGCCAGAGTGCACCCGCTAGAAGTAAACGAAAACAGTTTGTCCAGGAACAACATAGTGGAATGGCCAGGAGATCCAACTCCTCCGGACCCCCTATGATGTCAATGAATCATCATCAGAGTCCAACAATGGTCAGTGTCCAGAACTACTCGAACCAGGGCTCAACTTCAGTCCAGAACACACCTCAAAGTAACCGAAGATTTGTGACAAAACAATTGCTAAATAACGGAGTTGTTGTGAACAACGGCACTGGAGGTATAACGAATGTCCATATGTCGAATATCAACAATCAGACCATGATGAATGGAATAAACGGAACTGGTATGGTTCAACACCAAATGAGTCAACAACAAACTCAACAACAATTTCATCATCATCAGAACCAACAACACCAGCTACATCCGCAACAACAACAGCAGCAACTAATTGTTCATACAACACAACAGCAGCAAAAACAATCACAGCAAAAACAGCAAACTCTGCAGCACAATTCAGCAAGGAATCAACAAGATAAACAGCCTAAACAACAGTCGCCAAGCAAACTACATCAAAAATCTCTTCATAACCAAACTCTGAATACAAAATCTTCTCTCTCAGCACAAGATTCGGTCAACCAAACGGTTCTAGCTTTGAATGAATATGTCCAAGGTCTGCAAAATAAGTCGGGAAGCAACCAAGTAGCCGAATCTGCCAATAAGCCGATATCCATGAAGCAAGAAAATCCAGAAAACTATGTACCAATCTGCGCGCAAAATTTTCCATATAACTCACCCAATCAAAACTCACAGGGCGACATGAGCAATGGCAGTTCGTGTTCGTTGCCTCCACTTTTGAACGGACCCTTGCCTAACTACCCCCAGACTTTGAAACAAGGAGATAGCATGTTGTCTACTTTTAACATGCCAGATTCGTCGATGGAAAATAATCCTCTGAACTTTCAGCAACAGGTGGGGACAAAATAAAAACATAAATACATATATATATCACATACCTAAATTTTTCAATTGCTGATTGAATATGCGTGAATAAAACCGCAAAAATGTTGCTAAGCAAGCTTGTCGGAAGAAAAACTTAACTAAAAATGTGTTCAACTTTTTTAGGAGGAAACGTTAGTCACCGAACAAGACTGTCTGCTGATGAACTTAACCGAAGACGACATTCTGTCTCAAATAGACGACTTATTCTTTGACATATCTCCACCTCAGAGCAACAACCTCACCGACAACACGGACTTCGACGCACTGAACGGGTTTTTATTCGATAACAACAACCAAGACAACAACCCAGTCACATGCCAACAAAAACAACAACAAAATCTTCAGCAACAACAACAGCAAATACGTCGTCAACAACTACAAATGCAGCAGCATCAAGAAAACCAGTTTTATCAACAACAACAACAACAACAACAAAGCCAACCACAGCAGCAATTTACCATGGCTCAAGCTGATTACTGTTTCAATGGTAGCCCTGCAACTGAGCAACATAACCAAAGCTATAGAAACCTAGCGGTCCGTGGATCCAAAATAGAACCTCCTCTAAACTGGAGTCCATCGCCGAGAAACCTCTTGTTGCAAGAAGTTCCTAGGAGCGTAGTTAAAACGGAGCCAAATGACTTGGATTTGAGCGCCAGTAACAACTCGAGTTGGATGCAATGCTCACAAACATCTCTTAGTTTGTCCAACAATTCTGATTGGTTAAGAGACTCTCACGAGCGAATTATGAAGGGCGGCCAACTTTCTGAAGAGGAACTAGAATTGAGCGGTCATGGGTTAGCAAACAGAGCCGTAGTTTTCCAGGGAAATCCAGCTAGATTTTTAAACCAGATGGGTGGAGTGAATAATGAAATGGGCCAACAACATCATGTCCAGATTTTCCAACAGGAGAAAATGTCTCCGATGCAACCGCTTCAGTTGAATGAGTCACTCATGTCGCAGGAGTCTTTTCCGCAGTACATTAACTCTAGCAATGAGTTCAGCTCTCCTAGGATGCTTGACCTCTCGTGCTTGCCAGAACCACTAGCCTAAAAACATTAGTCAATACTCTGTGAATACAAAATTTTGAATTTAAATTGTAGATAACTAATAATCGTTAACTGTGTACAATGAAACACTGAAATCAGGCGCCGATGTATGATTTTCCTGAAGGGGGAGGCGGGTTTTCAACAAAGTTTGAAAGTTTTATCGACGTTCTTTTTAGGTCCATAAATTGATTTTCTGAGCTCTCCCATAAACACTAAAAAGATCTCAATTAGTCAAAACTTTCTGTGTGGCTGACGAAGTTTTGTAAAACTTTAGGCCTTTTTGGAAGATTTTGATTAAAAAAGACGTGTTTTGTTGAGCAATCAAAACAAACGAAACAAGCAAAGCCGATTGCTGGGTAGGTTGCACAGAATGTTACCACCACATTAGCGTCGTTTTTTTGTGCTTGATGAGATGAAAAAAGTATACAAACAGGTATAAAACCAGGATAGCCGGCTAGTGTGCAAGTTATCACATTTAATATGATATATCGCAAAGCCCAGTCCGATGGTTATTTGTGATGCCTGATTTTGCGTGAAAAAAAAAGAAAAAGAAAAGGAAAAAAAATGAAACACAGCCTAATACAAAGTCCCCCCCCCCCGTTCAATGGTCGGGAACAATCAACGAATTAGGCTTAATCGCCAGAAGCTGTTTTCAAAAAAGCATAAAAAATAAAAAATGAAACTCTAGAACAATTTTTGAAACTTTTTTGAAGTCGTAGGAACCGCTTAAAATTGACATATCACTCGACCCCTTCGGATGACTAATTAAAAATAATTAATATTGCATGGAAGAAGGAGAAAACAACTGAAATAAACCCTAACACGAGTATACCCCAAATAAAACAAAAACGCTAACCATACAAATTTATAAACAAAGTCAATAAAAAATACTAAAAATACAATTTGCATACAACTTTGTTTTTCTGGTGTAACCAAATTTTAATAGACTTTTTCTTGCTTTGGCATAAAAATTGGTGTATTGTCAGGATCAAAAAATTTTTTCGCATAAAAATGTTAATCATACAAAATTTGTAGGACTAGCAGTTTTTAATAATCACTCCAAAAGTAGTTTCAAAACTGCTCGGACAATTTCTTGAATTTTTTGAGCGCAAAACATGTTTTGTAGTCAAACAAACATTTTTCTTTTTTTTTGCATGCAAAATTTAATTTTTTTGGTTGTGCATAACTTAGTCTTGGATGCACAAAAATTGATTTTTCCGTTTTTTGAACTAAATTTCTCCAATATTGCTTGAAAATCCTGTTTGGTTTTGTGATACATTGTTTTGTATGCTTTGGGCGGTAGTGTGTCGAGGGGAAGGGCGGGGAGCGACCACTATTTCCCTTCCCTCAATTTTGGTTGCCCTTTGGTATAACTTTACGACTTCCAATTTTGGCTGACCAACCTCAACATTTTTCTAAGAGCGCCTATGGCGCCAATATAACTAAGTTTGAGGGGAAGCGCGCGCCGAAAAAACGCAATTTTTTGTGGTCAAAGTTTTCCAAAAATGCTCAAAAACGCGGCGCCGAAGACTTTTGACAGTATAGTGTCCTGACTCTATTTTAGGAGAGCTCGGAAAAGCAAATTGGTCGACCTAAAAAAAGGTCCGCAAAATTTTACAGTTTTCAGTCACACCATGGTCTTCGTCATTTGTCTTCGGTTACAAACACAACCAAAAAATTTTGAGACACTAAAATTCAACAAAAACACTTTTTAGTTCATGGAAAAATGCTAGTCATACAATCGCCACGTTTGAAAAACCGCTAAGCACAGAACTTTCATTCAATTTTTTGTACTTTCAGGAAAAGTCTATGATTAGCGTTTTTCCATGTACGAAAATTACCTGATTAGCATTGCATTTTTGGTACACCCGGGAAAGCAATGTTTCTACCCATTTTCAGTGGTCGAAACGATAAGAACAGCTGCCACAGATGCATTGGTAACCTTTTTTTCTCTGAATTTTCTCCAGTTAAAGTCGCTCTTTTATCATGGTTAGAGCAGATAATTCCAAGTTTCATAAAGTTTTGATTAAAGTTCTAGTTTGAGCAAAGCTAACATAGCAAAGCTAAAAGCAAAAACGAAGCTAACAGCTAATTCATTTTCCAATTGATTTGAGATTCAATTGATTTGAGAAGAATTTTCAAGTCTCATGGCTGAAAAAGAGGAAAACATGATTTCAAGCAAGTTTAGCGCATTAAAAATTAAATTATGCGACCCTTAGGATGATCGGGGGTCGAATCTTTTTTCGCTCGCGCCTCTCGTAAATCCGCCACTGGCTCAAAGTCAATCAACCAATTAAAGAGCAAAAAAACTATCATATGCGTTCTTTTCTCGTTATCACCCTGTTTACCTTGTCTAAATAGGCTTTTTAGATAAACAGTTGTAAGTAACAGCAGCGCGTTTGCATATTTTAGCAGTTTGATAGCGTTTACCGCAGATAAATTGTTTAAGAAATTATCCTAATCATCACGACCATTTTTCGCATGATTCTACTAAATAGTCTGAAATAAAAAAAAAACAAATGAGTTAAAAATACCAACTACTGAGTTTGATGTTTAATAAACGCTCGTTTCAGGGCTTATATGTTTTGCAAATAAGAGTTAGTTTGTCTAAAAGCTTAAGCTTCATATAAAAAGTTTCTATTCATTATCTGACAAAATTTGTGCTACAGTAGAAAATTGTAGGTCAGTAATTTTGGCACAGAAATTTTGCATAAGTCAATACATAAATCCTACATGCTAAGCTTAAGACAATTCATTCAAGTGAATCTAATAAAATCTATATGAAGTGGCTGTCCGAAATGTCTGTTAACTTGAAAACACTAGTAATAAACTACAAATTACTTATGCGAATCTCCCAATTTGAGATGACCGATTGCTGTGCAAGAAGCACAGTAAGTTCCTGTGGGTTTGATTTTGCAAAAACAAAAAACATCAGCTGCCTTATTAATAAATAATACAAAAGTTTTAGCATCTCAAAGTGATCTCTTCAAATACTTTCCCCTTAAGTATGTAACTAGTTGCCACCCCTATTACAAAATAATTTAACAGTTAGGAATATGCCAACTCTTACCTAGTGACGAATTTGGGTCTTTGCACTAAAAGGCAATAATTCAATTTTTTTTCAATCTTGAGCTGTTAGTTAGCAAATTCGATTCAATTATTTTAATATCAGTTCAACTTAAGATGAAACACTAATTTTGGGCAGTTTAGTGCAAAAGACCCAAAAATTTCCATCTTTTGTAAGAAGGACGAGCGATAAAAAAGATATCTCAAAAACATCAGTATGAAGAGTGAAACATTTTTTTTTCAAAGAGCGAAAACTTCAAACTTGTTCTTTTTTCGACGTTTAGAGAAAAATTGGAGCTACAAATTACAAATAAGTAATAAATTTACTGCGCCACGGACACTGTACAGGCAGACTTGCCTATCTAGTAGCACCCCACACTGGTTCCCTTTAAATGAGGAAGGATTTGTGAAACACCTTTGATTATTAAGAAAACAACAGCTCAAAGAGTTTCAAAAGTCTCTTAAATGTACCACTTTAAAATTTCCGAAACTCAATATCGGAGATTTTCCTTAAGTTTATTTGGGATAAAACTGTTTTTCTGCGCAGTACTATAACATTTAGTTAGCGTAACAAAAACAGCGTTAGCCATATTTGCGAACATGCTAGTTTTACCGGGAAAAAGAGTTCGATCTTTGACTTTGTTGAGCAACGACAAGCTAATGAATTCAGATCTAAGAAATAATTCTGAGAATTTTTTCGCAGTTGGTGAAACATTTCTTCAAATTTCTGACAAAGGAAAGTTTGAAAAAGAGTATCATTTTGTGTTCATAAAAAACGTTAATATTATGATCAGTTTTCTGAAAAAAAAGGTTCGTAACATTTTTTTAGCCAAAAAAATTCTATTTTTTTTGATATGACACCATATGCAATCAGACCGTTTGAGAGAAATGGCGATGCATAAGGTTTTATATAACTTTACACTATTTTTCCTTTAAAAAACACATCGGGCCTGGTACCTTATTCCATTGATTTTTCCTACTTTTTGCACATTGTCCTAACATCTAGGGCAAAATGTCCTAACATCGAAGTCTTTGTCTATCAAAAACGGAGATGTTTACAGATTTATTTAAATAATTAAAGAGATAGTTTATTCTAGAACATCACCTTCAAAAGCAATAGAGCTTCCCTTAGGTCTTTTTACCAAACTGCATCAGTTTTGATTACGTTGAGCCGATCATTAGTTTATTTTGCGCATATCTTTTATCCATAGCTGTAAAATGCCCTAAATTTTCTCTGGACGTCGAGTTTTGCGTAAAAATTTATGTCATGCCATTAGTGTAAATCACGAAAATTTGCCCTACAACTGATCCCTGTTCACACCCTAGTCAGTTATTTTGGTCTCGAACTTTGGTCTTGTAGATATTCAAACAATTATTGAAAAAATTGAAGAGATATTTTAATCTAGAACATCACCACTAAGTGCAACAGAATTTTTATTTAGGTCTTTTTACCAAACTGAATCAGCTTTGATGACGTTGAGCTCATCATTAGTTTATTTTGCGCATACCTTTTACCCACAGCTTTAATATCGCCTAAGCTTTTTCTGAACGTCGATTTTTGCATAACAAATTTCGTTATGTCATTAGTGTGAATAACAAAAATTGGTCCTACAACTGATCCCTGTTCACACGCTAGTTAGTTCATTTAGTCTCGCACTTGCCGTCAATCATTTCAACTTTTTGCAATCGATTGGAGAGATAGCTCCTCAGCAAATATAATGTTACTAGATCTCCACGTGTTCAAGTTATTTGCATAAAAAAGAATGATCGACAGTATCGAAGGCTTTTTTTAAATCATTAAAAATAGACATGCCTTTCTTTTCCCATTCAATTTCTCTCTTAAAAATTCTGATATTCAAACAATGCACTGGTGATGTATGATTTCAGCAAAAACCTTGAAAAATTGTTCCGGTAATAAAAAGTTATGATGAGTCATGAAATTGATAATTCAATTGCTAATGAACTTTTCAAAAAATTACTGACGCGGATTCA